ATTAATCAAGTAAGAGTAATTTAGAATGATTGAAATAAGATATATAAAAAAAGATTGCAGGTTAATAATAAAGAGATACAACATTGTAAATGAACAGATATCATAACGTAAGACAACACATGAATAAGTGTAGAATAATAGTTCCACAATTGTAAACTTACAGATGTAATAGATACAGCTTATTATAAAATAACAGCTTCTAAATTCAAGGACATTGTAATCAAATAAATAACATTAAATAGGGATACCTTCTACTTGGTATCACTTGGTTAGATTGATTTGAACCTCCGCACGAAAGACTGGTAAAAATATACATTATTCCAGAGTCTTTGTTATTTTTTAAGAGGTCTGCCATGCTTTTGTCAAAAAACAGATCAATCAGCTTCATTCGTTGAATCTGACTGTATATTGTATGGGTCGATTCCCAAGTCAAACTCAAAAACTTCATTCAACATCTCTTTAAATTTTGAATACATTGTACCATAAGGAATATCCACGCCAATAGTCTGACCACCCTTATACTCAATGGTGCTATTGACAATTAATATCTCACCATCCATATAGCAATAGCAGTATATACTGTCCATTTTCTGTACAAGAAGAAGGAGCAGGCATAAACTGTAACAATGCAAGAAATAATGTAAATAACAGATTCATGATTGTAAAAACATAGACCAATGACTGTAAACTAACGGATGAATAACTGATAAAATACAGATTGGTGAATATAAATATCCAGATCTATACTATGACAGGCATGCGTTTACAGATGGAAGACTGTAAAATAACATATGCATATGTGCAATGAGACAAATAGGGTGACTGTAAACGAAAATGTGTATAAAATGATGGATGGGGACAGTAAATTAACAAATGCGTGATTGTAAAAGAGCAGATGGCTGAGTGTAAAGCAATAATCGGGATGTAAAAAGATGGTTTCTCTAATTCGACAGACGGGTCACTTAAAAAACCAAAAGCATGAATGTAAAAAATTGAACCACAGAGGCTTGATTGAAGACAAAACAACAGGTGTGTGATTGTAAGACAGATTAAAACTACATATGAACGACTGTATAAAAACAGATGGCGAGTGTAAAACATGATATTCAATAATGTACACATTATTTGCTGGCTATAAAATACAGATCATTGATTGTAAATTAATAGGTAGATGATTGAACAGGATAGATTTCCGATTGTAATATAACAGACAAATCATAAGACAGCTGCATTGTTATAGCTACACAGATATATTACTCGTAAACCATCAAATGAATGCTTGTCACTTGTCAAATGCATGCTTGCCGAATCACCGATCTTAGTGTAGGGAATGTTACAATCAAAAAGCTTGGACTAAGAGGTTGAGCAACGGCAATGTCGATTAGAAAAGCTTTCGGTGAACAAGAAGAGAAGAACAAGGTAAGCAAAAGCAAGAACTAAGATATGCTCCCAATGTAAGAAGCAGTAAGCAGAACTACAAGCTGAAAAGTAGCGAGGCCTAAAGTAAGAAGAAGAAGAATATCACAGAACGAGGCTTGATAGTAGAACGAAGCTCGAATGCAAACTTATAGGTTAAAGAATGAAGCTTGATCATGTGAGAAGATGGCCGAAGGAAGATCACCGAAGCATCACTGAATGCGCGGGAAGATCATTGAAGGAAACTTGTTCACTTGATGGAAATCAAATGCGAGGATCGGTGGGGTGGGATCGCTGAAGCAAGCTAAAGGGTGGGATCACCGAAGAACGTTGATGGAGTGGGAGGGATGAGTGCCGGGCTGGAGGGGGGAATTTTGGCGGGATGAAAACGTTGATGGAGCTAGAGGGGGGTGGGATCGCCGAAGAACATTGATAGACCGGAAGGGATGAGCGCGAGCGGGAGGGGGTATTTTGGGTATTAGAAAATACCTTAAGTGGGAATATTTTTGAATTATATCTTTTCTTTGGAATTATTTATCCTTTAGGGTTTTTTTTTAGAAATATTTTTGAGATATGGCCTTAAGGGTAATTATTATTTTTTAATTTACCTTTTTAGTAATTATTCCTAATTTCTATCCCTCCTGTCCACTTAAATACTAATTTAATATCACTCTATCCATACTACTTACCCAATAAAATATTTTTCAAAATCTCTAATCTTACGTTGATTAAAAAAAAAAAAGGAATGAGATTTAGACGTAGAATTCTATGAATTTTAAATTTATTTTAATGTTTAGCAGAAAAGAATAAAAGATTTTTGGAAAAAATTGAATTTGAAATTAAAAATAAAATTTTTCTTATTATATCCTTCAAAAAAAAATTATTTTCTTAAAAGATTAACCAAATAAATAATAATTTTAATATCTTGTATGCACCGTGATTAGTGAGAAAGTGCACCTACAAGTTAGAAATATTTGATAAAGATTTCAAATTGGTTCAAGTTATGAATTTGATCCAATAATTTTTGGTTGAGAGCAAACTGATGAATGATACATGTAAATGGAAAAAAAATTTAAATAAAACGAAACAAAAATATAAACCTAAATAGATTAAATAAAGTACACACACGTACGTGTAAATGGAAAGAAAATTTAGATAAAACAAAATAAAATATAAACTCAAATAGATTAAATAAAGTAGATTATATATACATATATATATTATATATATCCTTCAAGAGATAGGAAACAAGTTCTTTGTGACTTTGTTATTCTTTTATTTTTTTAACCTAATAAAAAACGCTAGAGAGAAGAGGCTGAATTGAAAAAGTAATATAAAATTTTTAAAATAAATTTTTCAAAATCCAAATCCTGCAAAATCTTATCAATTTTGAATGAATTTCAATAATATTAAATGAAATTCTATCAAATTTCATAAAAATTTAAATCTCATTCTTTAATTTTTTATTTAAATGATAAGTAAAATTTTAAAATCCAAATTCTACTTAATCTTGTCAAATGATAAGTTTGTCAAATATAATATAAATCCACCACGTATCTTTTTGCAGTGCACCTGAGAGCAAAAAATTTCCAATTAAAACCCCAGGAGAGGTGGGCTGGCGGCAAGTGCAGAGATTTTATACTCAGAGTGGGTAGTAATAAATACAAATAATAAGAATTTATGAAAATAAAATTATTTTTACAAATATAATTTTACGTCCTAAAAAATTATGAGAATTGGTGAGAAAAAAATTTAACATTTAATGAACTTTTTTATTTAGCAAAATTAATCTTACATATACTAATATAAATTAAAATAGGAAGATATTTAGTAAGATTATTTTTATTTTTCACATTTTTTCCCCTTTCTATCTAAATAACAACATAAACAATAAATTAAATTATTTTTTCTTTTCTTCTCTCACTTAATTTAATGAATTATTTAATTTTTTTCTCAGATTGTTTTCCAAACATGTACACTGTGTTGTAATCCCTGGTTTTGTTTATTTATTTTTTTCTTTTTTGGTTTCAGTTTTGATATTCACTTTTCAAATTTTTGAGTTAATAAAATAGTTTCCATTTTTTACTAATTATTAATTAAGTTAATGGAATAATTAACGATATAACATGAGTTGCCTAATGGCTTTTGCCACGAGGAAAAAGATCAGATTTTTTTTATATATATAAAAGGAGCAAAATCCTTATTTTCTCTAATTAAATTAATATTTTAGTTACAATTAATCATACAATTTTATAAAAAAGCAGTATATACTTACTTAAAAATATAAATATATAATATAATAATAATAATTTGTTTGAGATTGATATAACAAAATCAACCCGATATTCATCATAAATAAATTTTAGATACTTTAAACAAATATTAAAATATTTTAATATGAATATAAATTCAATATTTATTAAATCACCAACTTATCACTCCAACTTACATCATATTATAAATAGATTCATAAAGTAAATTTATATTTTAATTTTTTATTAACTTGAACTATATTGTACAAAACATATTCCGAGGAAAAGGAACGGAGAGCAGGGAAAAATAAACGGTGTATTAGCTTCGTAAACCCGTGATTCTGCTTTACAATTTACTAGATGATGTACTGCTCATATTACATGCACAATTGTATGCAAGGGTCCGGCAAACCTTTACACTTGTATTCCGGCGCCTCCACAGAAAATCCGTAGGTGACTCTCCGAGCTTTTCCCACACTGTTGCTCTGTTCTTGGTGCCTCTGTTGTGTTGCTTCTGTTAGCTTCGTGACGGAGAGGAAGCACGAGTCCGTGTGTGGAAGAAGTCCATGAGGTGGTCAGGCTGGGTTGGGGGTTTTGTTGGACCTCCGGCCACCCCACAGAGGGGTGTTTGCATGCCACGTGTGTTAAAAAATAATAACAAAAGGTTTGAAGTATAAAAAACAATCTCAAAAATTATTTAGCTTATTACACGAAAAACAAAAATTTTTGAGATACAAAAATCCATTAAAAATTGGTGTATATATATATACAATTCAAACAGTCACTTTTAACAGTTGTATTTGATCAATTAGATGCAAAACAAATAATCATATTATTTAAAATAATTATGACATTTTATATTAATTAAAAAAATTATTAACACTTCTAATTTAAGGCTAAGATAAGCTCCAAGTCCAAGTCCAAGTCCAAATTCTTCTTGAATATACATATACATGTATATAAATCACATCTAATAGTCTATTTAATAAACTAATAATACAATTAAAAAGAAATGAGCCTTATTAATAAATAATCTTGACTTCTTATATTTTTCAAACATGAAATTTCATTGCAATCACAGACTGACTACACAATAGTGTACTCCTTGAAGAACCAACCGTGAGAACTGGAACTTGCACTAAAATTTATAACCCCACCAACTAAAACAGTACAACTCCACATATCTCTCTGTCAGTCCTAAAATTTACTTAGGCAAGGGTTTCATTTCTTACCAATATTAGTACATTGCAAGTCCCCTTCTCCCTCTCTCTCTTCCCCATCTCTCTCGCATAGTTTTGTTTCTGTACCTACATTGCGACATTGTTTTCCTATTTAGCTTGAACGACTATGCTTGAGAATGCTTAGAGGCACAAAGGCCAGATTGAGATCCCTCTAGACAACCAAATACACTAATCAAAACAAATGTTTCTCTTTTCTAATAACCACCACAATAGCAACATATATATGGTTCACTTGATAAATAATTGAAATGATTTCAGGCTTCAAGATTTCTCTTTTACGTGCCGAACTAACATCCTTTTTTAAGTCAAGATATAAAATGGATTTTTCTCCACATTTTTTCTCCTGATCTATACTTCTCTATTTTGCTCCCAAACATAGAGGCATATTCTCTAATAATAGAACATCAATATTTCATATGATTAGCAAGATGAAAGAACTCAACTAAGACTACCAACAATAAACACTATCCATCAAAATTGACGCTTTCAATCAAATAAAACCAGAAGAAGTTCATTTTATTTCTGAACTATGGAAATCGTGCATTTTACTCATACAGAACACTATTAAGCATAAAAAGTGCCAGGAACTAGGTTTTGCAATGGCCAACTGAATGGATTTTTTTCTTTTTAAAGTCATAGACAGATATAAAAAATTTAAAATTTACCAACATGGAATGGCAGATTTAGTATCACATGGATCAGCAATAATTGGCACACGACTTTCAAGAGAGACAATGACTTTGCCGGTGGTGGCATCAAGATCAATATCATAGAAGCAAGGCCTTGTAGGAAGCCCAGGCATTGTGCTCATTGTTCCAACTAGAGGATAAATGAATCCAGCCCCTATGCTTGCCCTCACATCCTGATTGGTAGGACAAATCCACTTGGAGCTCCTTTTTCAGAAGGAATGTGTGAGAATGAGTATTGGGTTTTTTGCCATGCAGATTGGAAGCCCTGAAAACCCTTGCTTGCTGTATATCTCTATCTGTTTCTCAGCCTGGTTACCCAGTTAGACAAAAATAAGATAATAGTAGTAAATCTTCATATATTTCACCTTCTAGATGCATGGAGAAAAGAGCTTGAAAACGATATCGTGCTAGAGTATTACACCATACAGAAAAATCAGCAGCATGTTTAAAATTTGTAGTCCAGCAACGTTATAGAAAAATATTAAATTTAATCAGCCGCAGGCCAACCTAGCAGTTAATTAAATGCATCACCAAAGCAGAGTTTACAACTACTCCAAGGGAAAAACCATTTTTCCTTCAGTTTACCACAATCTTTAAATTTTCAAGAAAATCCAGACTACAGCTAGCATTCAACATCCAAAGCTCTTTCATTCAACTAAAGAAAAAAGACAAAAGATAAATATTTCAAATTAGAAAATTGTCAACTTCGGTTTCACTTTTATCATTGTTATCATCAGATTCAGATTTTTTTCTGAAAAGAAAATTGTCAGGCAAAATAACAATAAAAGGCTAAACCCAGAACAGCAATGCTCTGAAAATAAGTTTTTACAATGCGATTAGTTCATAAAAAAACTGAATGATTACCTGCTCAGAGTACTCCACACCACTGGCACCATAGGACTTTGCTATTGCTTCTATTTTTTCTTTGATGCTAATTTCCAGAGGATATAGAAATTTCAATGGCTGTGAAAAATTTTCACATGCCTTTTGAACTGCAATGCCAAGATCCACTAAAAATCAGAAAACATAGTTCATTAGCTAACTCACAAGGCCCATTATCAAGCACATGTACAGATACAAATTGTGTTATCATTACTCATCACATAAACCAGCATTTGGATAACCGCCTCTTGAAAATAAAAATAGATCAAATAAATGGATATCAATAGATTCTCCCAATTTTATTGATTTGTTTCATTTCCCAGTGGCTCACCCATTCTCCAAAAATACTATGGCATTTTATGTGATAAAAGTAAATAAATAAATACTATTCAGTAATATTTATGAATATGGCATGTTCAAATTAAGAAAACAGGACAGCAGCGGAGCAGATGGAGTTGCTGGAGAAGGAAAGGGGATATTTTAATACAATTGCACTGACAAATTAAGAAGACATCATAGGGCAGCTGAAACTTTAGGGACAATGAGACCAAAATAGAGTTAGGTGTATGAAGCTAATGAATGTAATATTCTAAATTGACAGTAAAGCTGCATTCGAGCCTTACAAATAAATACTTTATTACTATAATTTGCAAGAATATCTAGGTATCTACATAATAAGATGTAAATAAATCTTTAAGTAAATCAACTCGGGGACAGAAGTGATGCACCTCAACATACTTTTATCATTCTGTTTGTTTTGGTTAATTTTGCACCATTTCACTTAGTAACTCCATTTATCAAACTTTCTGCATTCATATTGACATTACAATATAGATTTCTAATTTTGGAAATCACTGACATGTAAAATAAATGTAGCAACCATAGTTGTTGGAATCGTGCGATTCGCCATGTTTGGCCTACCACCGATACATATTGGTGGGTGAATCATGTGTGAGAGTGAATAGATACGAATTGCACGAATTGCTGTGATTCGTATCAATGATTCAAATTGCTAGAAAGTTGCGATTCAAACCCGATGATCTTGCATGCAAACAGAAAGAAAATGCAGACATGGAAACCATCTTTGTACCATTTGACTTCCTATTCTTCTCTTCTCTTCTCTTCTCTTCTGTATCAAATGGGTCATATCTTTCATCAAAATCATCTATTTCGCGTGGGTCATCGCTCTCCTGTGTGTGACAACTTCAGCTTTGTCAGAACGTTCGAGTTCTGCTTTGCATCTCCTGGTTCGCATCTCCTTTTGGTTTGTACACCGCTCACATCTTCCTTCTATTTGACACCTTCTAGTTCACATTTGACGGCTTCTGGTTCCACGGCTTCTGGTTTGTATCTATCTCTTGGTTTGCGTTCGTGTCTCTCTTCTGGTCGACGACTTCTAGTTCATGTATCTCTTCTGTTTCTCTGTGTTGACTGTTTAGTTTGACGTGGTGTGTGGAGTTTGAGGACTAGGGGATTTATTTGCAAGTTTTTGGCTTAACTATTTAGTTCAGTTGGCTGTTTAGCTTTACTATTCAATTGGGTTAAATTTTATCATGGCCCCTAAAGCTAAAATTAAAAAAAATATATCATGAAGAAAGATGTTGCCTAGGATCACTGTATTGCTCTTGAAAGTAGATTACATGTTAGGCCCTGTTCAGTAGGGCTGAGAAGGGGAAGAAAATAATTTTTATCAGTCGTTACATGCGTTCGATTTGACGTGTAACAAATCCGAATACGGAATATGTATCTAAGGGCCACGATAAGGTATCTGTCAGTTCGAGGGGATAAATTTTATCCCCCCCGATAAATTTCATCCACGGACAACAATGCCCTTGCCAATTGAAACCAGAGGAAGTCGGGGCAGAGGAGGTCGACGTCTGGAAGGAGGAGTTGGAAGGAGGTCGACTGGCTGGAAGGAGGTGGAAGGAGGTCGACTGGAAGGAGGACGCAGAGGACGACTTCTTGGCCGTAGAGCAAGACGATGTCTATAAGGGAGGAGGACGACATGCAGATGGCTGGAAAGAGGCCAACTGGGCCCGATCCGGTTGGAGAGTTTTCCGATCCAGCTGGAAAGAGTCGACTAGTGATCCGAGTAAAGGAGGACAACGATTCGAGCAGAGGTCGATTGGCAATCTGAGCAGAGGGAGGACGACGATTCGAGCATGAGGTCAACTGGTGATCAGATGGAGGGAGGACGACAATCCGAGCAGATGGCGATTTGAGCTAACGGTCAGCTGGCTCAATTGGAGCGATCCGATCTAGCTGGAGAGTTAAATTTTTTTTTTTTAATCTGAGGCTTTTTGATAAATTATCAGTTTTATCCTATCTACTTTAAAAAATTTTATCCCTTTTATTATTTGTTGAACCAAACATATGATAAAATTTATCCATCTAATAAATTTTATTCAGTTATATCTTATCACCCTATATCCTATCCCCCTATCTGAACGGCCCCTTAAATATAATTATTGTTCACAAATAGTGTGAGGGAGTGCATTTAGAATGAAGCATCATTTTGCAGAAACACGTCAGGAAGTTACTCCCTGTATTCAAGTTCTAGAAGATATTAAAAATTTTTTAAGAAAATGTTACAAGAGAAAAAAGGACGATGAACTTAATGAACTTTTTTGAAGAGACTGTCACCCTTATTGATGGTTCACAAAGAAAAGGAGTTATGGATGCATTTGTTGTGAAAGGGAAAGGGCAACCAGTCCTATGGGTGGACAACAAACCTTGAATGAGATGGTGAAAGATAGGGAAATGGTGGTAAGAGATATATGCCAATGAATTTATGGCAATGCATTATCATTTAATTTGGTTAAGAGCCCTTTATTTATTCAAATAGTAAAATTAATATCTGAATCTCAGAGAGGTTTGAGACCTCCAAGTTATCATGAGGTTAGGGTCACATATTTAAAGAAAGAGAATGATGATATACATGCTAATTTGGATATATGTAGGAGTGAATGGAAGAAGACATGTTGTACCTTGATGTTAGATGGGTGGATGGATGGAAAGAATAGATCTTTAATTAATTTTTTGGTTAATAGTCCAAAAGGAACTGTTTTTATAAAATCCATTGATACTAGTAAGTTCATCAAGAATGCTGAAAAAATGATTGAATTACTTGACACTGTGGTTGATGAAATTGGAGAAGCAAATGTAGTTCAAGTGATAACTAATAGTGCCTCTGCCCTTGTAACTGCTAGAAATACGTTTATGGAGAAAAGAAAACAATTATTTTAGAAACCTTGTGCAACTCATTGCCTTGATTTGATTTTTGAAGATATTGGTAAAATTCAATATTTTATAATACCATTGAAAAATCTAAGAAAATCACAATTTACATTTATAAACATACTTGGGTGTCTTAATTTGTATAAAATATTTTCCAATGGGAAAGAGTTAACAAGGCCGACAATAACCAGATTTGCCATCTCATATCTTACATTGAAATCAATTTTAAATCAAAAAATAGCTTTCCAATCTATGTTTATATCAAAAGCACAGGCCACAAGTACTTATGTTTCTGAAGTTGATGGTGCAAAGCAAGAGAGATTATTTTAGAGGATTCAAGATTTTAGAAATCTTTTAACTTATTGTTGCACTTGTGTCTCTCCACTTATGAAAGTAATTAAAGACTCGTGGATGGTGATTTGAAGCCATCTATGGGCTACATCTATGAAGCCACAAATAAAGCAAAGGAGCAAATAGCTAAAAATTTTCAACAAATGGGGAGTAGATATAAAAAAGTGTGGAGCTCATAGACCAACGTTGGGAATATCAACTCCATAGGCCTTTTTATGCAGCTGGATACTATCTTAATTCTAGGTAAAATTTATATGATTAAAGTTTATCCTTTCTTATATTCATTTATTATATATATTAATGCTTCTTAAAATTAAAATAATTTTTTAGGTTCCATTATGAAAAAAAATCCAATGCAAATCTTGGGGTGATAACTGATTTGTACAATACGGTGGATAGATTAGCTCTAGATATTGAGATAAGGGTAAATATTATTACCCAACTTGATAAGTTTCATAATGCAGAGGGATGTTTAGATATGACTTGGCAATAGCAATTAAAGCTAAGATGCAACCTGGTATGCTTTCTTATCATAGTTATACTCTTTATTTTTTTTAATTATATATTTGCTATTATAAAAAATTTCTTATCTATTGTACTCTTTTTCTTATTAGCTATATGGTGGAATAATTTTGGAGCAAAATGCAAAGAGTTTCAAACTTTTGATATACGTGTTCTAAGTCTCACATGTAGTTACGGGATGTGAAAAAACTTAGACTGTCTTTGAGCATATTCATTCTAAGAAGAGAAACAGGTTAGAGCAACAAAAATTGAATGCTCTTGTATTTGTTAAATACAATCTTAGTCTTTACTCAAGGCAAAAGATAAGAGAGGAGAAAGGAGAAACTTATGATCCAATTTGCCTTCAGATATAGAATCGATAATGAATGGATCACAGAAAAGCAGGAGCCTTATCTAATGGATTTAGAGCAACAAGTAAATAACTCTTGGATGGACGTCCAGAGTGCTTTAATATTGATAAAGAAGCTCCAAGTAAAAAGAGAAAAAGACGTATGTTATCTAAAAAGTTATTCTTATCCAATTATCTAAATTCTTAAATCATACCTTCTTATATTACATTACATGTATTTCATGTTTACGACCAAAAAACCTTGATGCAATGGGCAAAAAGGACAAAGGAATAAAACCCATACAAGTTGCTTGTGAAGTTGAAGACATTGGAGATGATGATGGTGGTGAAAGTGGAGATAAGAGGATGAAGATTTGGTTATGGTTGATAATGATACACAAATTGATGATATTAGCCTTGAAGGGGATGAGAATGAAGATATATAGATTATCTAGTAATTAAACTATACTTAAGTGAATCTTTTTGCATCAATGTGACATGTTTTATATATGACATTATGGTATTTTAGTATTTTGATACTTTTGAAAGTATATTATTCATGTTTTAAGTGTGTAATTATGTATTTTTAAATATTTTTATGATATGTTTCTGAATCTTACGATACGATAAGAATCACGATTCCCGATTCATGATTTGTAAAATACAAAAGCAATTCACGATTTGACAGCTTTGGTAGCAACTAAAGAAGCTAGACACAACAGTTTCACTTGAAGTGCTAAAACTGATTTTCTAAGGAAAATCTGTGGTTAAAGCCACCTTAGAAATGAACAATTTCGCAATCATGGCAACAAAAATCAGAAACAGGAACATTGATTCAGCCTAGACCTATAGCTGTAAATTTATGCAAGAAAAATTTCAAAGGAAGGCCGCAAAAATTCCAGTGTGGTTAATTATGACCATTTAGTTAATATCAGTTTATTATTTTCAACATTTCTTTCCTGCTTAAGGCATGATACAAATGATACCATTTCCTGGTAATCCTTAACTAGAACATTGGTTTGGAATGAGTTACTCACAGCTCCTTTTCCACCATATGCATGGTGAGTGCAGATTACTGCATCAAAGGCCCCAGCAGCTAGAGCAGCATTTCTAACGGCATTTAGTTCTGCTTCGGAATCTGTTGAGAACTTGTTGATGGCAACCACAACATTGACTCCATAAGCCTTTGTGTTTGATATGTGGCGGGCCAGATTGATACAACCAGCCTCAACTAGAGCTACATTTTCAGTTAAGTAGGCATGGTCAAGAGGCTTCCCTGCTACAACTTCAGGCCCTCCACCATGCATTTTCAAAGCCCTTATAGTGGCCACAATTACAGCACATTGAGGTGTCAAGCCACTGTATCGACACTTAATATTCATAAACTTCTCAGTTCCAATATCAGCACCAAAGCCAGCTTCCGTAACCACAAATCCACCTGGACCCACCAGCTTTAGTGCAATTTTGTCAGCCACAATAGATGAATTACCATGAGCTATATTAGCAAAAGGGCCTGCATGGACAAGAACTGGAGTGCCTTCAAGAGTTTGCATCAGAGTAGGATTAATAGCATCCTTCATGAGCACAGTCAAAGCACCTCCAACTCCAAGATCATCTGCTGTAATAGGCTCACCAGCCTTGCTATTTCCAATTACCATGTTTCCAAGCCTCTCCCTCATATCAGCCAGAGAAGTTGTGAGAGCCAAAACTGCCATTATTTCACTGCAACGGAAATATCAAATCCAGTTTCTCTCACCATCCCTTTTTCTTCAGGACCCTGACCTACTGTAATCTTTCTTAAAAATCTGTCATTGACATCCATAACTCTCCTCCATGTGATAGAATCAGGATCTATATCAAGCCTTGCAAACTTCTTGACTTCTTTTGGGGTCAGATCCTCGGGCTTGGTCTTAGAAATACCAAGCTTTTTCAAACGCCTGAACATTATGTTACTAAAGCTCCTTGTACCTTCTTTGTTAGGGGGGCATAATCGATTTAGAAGAGCCTTATCACTCTGCGTTGATTCATGGAAAATTCGTGTGTCTATGGCAGCAGCCAGAAGATTGTTCGCAGCTGTAATGGCATGGATATCACCAGTAAGATGAAGATTGAACTCGTCCATTGGGATTACTTGGCTGTAACCACCACCTGCAGCACCCCCTTTTATTCCAAAAGTTGGTCCTTGTGAAGGTTGGCGAAGGCAGGTTACAACCTAATTTCAGATACATTAGCCAATAACAGACAGAAAAGAAAATTTTAATCAAGAGCTACAGATATATACATATTCATTTAAATTTTCATGTTTTTGGATCACAGAAAATCACCAGCTTTTGTTTGAATCAGCTAACATAAACAATAAGTTTTCCTATCCATCTAAATGAATCCAGAATATAAGTGTGGCAGAACAAAAGATTTGTCCAGGCTTAGCATTTATATCCTTTTCATACCAAAAAATATAAATCTACAAATGAACTGAGAAAGAGAGAGAAATCAAAATTTTGATTGGAAAAGCATGCTGATGGTTGATATATAATCACATGCAAAGGAAAATGTCTATCATCTGCAAAAGAATATTAACAGATATTCTCATACTGACATCCCGGCCACTAGCTTCTCTCTTGTTAATTTTTGGGATGTAGCAAAATGATCATGATGTGTGTGTGGTTGTGTGTGAGCAGCTGCTGCTTTCCAACCTCAAAGGACCAAATAAAAACCATGGCCAGAAATCCTGTTCCTCAAGTTCGATGCAGAATGGGTGAACCAAGAGGTTTGTATTAAATGTTATAATTAGTAGTGGTGTATTGTCTTTCAGCACATTCTCACAAAACCATCAGTCATAATTAGGCACCATTTGGAGAATGAAATGACAATTAAAAATTCACAACCTACAATGTGCATGCCAAATGGGATTATTTATTGTTACAGGATGATATGGTTGGTGATGCAAGGAATAATAAGCAAATACTACTCTGCCATTTTGATGATCAACATAATTCTGATGAGAGATGCAGACATGAGATATTCATTTTATCAGCACTTTTGACTCACTAAGAGTTTCCATGAAACAACTCAACCAACCGTCTTTTAAAACATAACTTGAACATACTTGCTTTAAGTTGTCCTACAACACCAGCAAAGAGGGAGCAGGTAAAACTTCAAAAGAAAGAATGCTTAAATAATGACCAGTCTACTTGTATAGGGATCTTGGTATGTCAACAAGGATGGATAATCACCAAACCCATGGAGACTCACTCCAATGGAAGCAGGTTTAGAGACTTGGGAATGGATGTGGGAATGGAGATAAAATTTCAAACCAAACTGAGTGGGTTTGAATATGGATATGAAGATACAAGCACACCATCATACACATTTTAATCCCTTCATTCCACTTTTATGCCATCCTTTCCAATTAAATACCAAAAGTGCCCCTTTATTACAATGTATTTAGGGTCCTTTATTCCTACTTTGTTTTATGAATTAACATTTCTCATAGGACATATTTATTTTTAGGTGGAAGTTGGGACTATATTGAATTGTGAAGTTCAAACTTATATGCATGTGAGCACTTGAATCGTGAAGTTTGTAGATCATGGTACAAAGTTGAAAATATTTTCCATTGTTATTTGTTAGTGCTTTGCTTGATGAGTGAAAAAAAATTACAAGTTTTTACCGTTATTAAAAATTAGAATATGCTTAATAAATATAAATAAATGCTTATAGTTCCTTTATAATTTATTATAATCCAAATTTGTAATTATTTTTCCTCTTTTCAAGATGGAGGATGACACCCACATGGATGACCACCTCAAAGGAGATGGAGGAGAAGAACATAAAGGCCCTTAGTTTGGTATGGAGACAAGATGGAGATGGAGCAACTAATGGAGGTGGGGCTCATGAATTTACCCCACGCTCCATTTAGATCCCTATGGGATAACTCCTTCTTCATGTGAATTACTAAAAATTCAATGATATGGAAACTAAAGGTTGTGGGAATCCAAACATGAGAACACCATTCTGGTATGTCATAGAGAAGAACTTCCTCTATAATTTGAGAGTTGAGTCTTTAGCACCAGAAAATGCATCCCAAATTACAGCATCATTTACTCCATATTTGGAAAAGTATAACAGAGTAATGACATTAAAAACCCAACAAAAATAAGATAAGTCTATCCCCACCTTACAGTCTTCAGCCTCCATCAATTGAACTGCCTTTAGAGACAGATTTATACAATAGGAAGATTGTATTTTTCTTTCACAGCTATAGCAATGTTTTGTTAGAAAAGCAAACTTTCCCTCATACCAAAGACACTCCAATATTTGCAGTTACTTAATCACTAGCTCTCTTCCTTAGTTTTGAAATTACAATCAAATTTTCTCAAGGACTTGCGTTGTCATTGTAGAACATGAAAATGGGGAAATTTAAATATCCGTTATTAGTAACTAGACCGAACAAGTGACAGTTGAAAGGAGGGAAAGATGTAGCAGACACGATCAAACAAAGCGTTCAAAAGTATCAAATAAGTGCCATAAAGATACCTTTTTATCAAGAAAGCACCCAAAGCCTGACAGAGACCAACGGTAGTAGTGGATTTGCCTTCTCCAAGAGGTGTTGGAGTAATCCCTCCAACCACCACGTAATACCCATTAGCTCTTCCTTCAAGTTCATCAAGCACTGATAAGAGTACCTACAGTAACAAACTCAAAAACCAATGGATTCCAAAACCACGAGAAAAAGAAACAAACAGAACATTGGCATCAACAGATCCCAAATTCACCCGAAGTCCCACAAGAAACTAAGAATAAGCACAGACATATATTAAATATGAACATTGATATTATTACCTTGGCTTTATATTTTCCATAGAGATCGTAGTGGTCGGGATTGAGATTGAGTTCTTTGGCGATTTCGGAGATATGGAGAGGTTCAACAGAGTTTGCAATATCGATGTCTGCGGGACTGGTGATACCACCTCTAACTTCCTCACTGTCTTTGATGTCATATCTCCTTCGCCTTCTACAACGACTGATCTTGGAGTTCTGTTTCTGGGTTCCTGATCCAAGTCTTACTGTACCGCTAATTTCTGCAAGGGGCACAGAAAACTAGGAGGAGGAGGGGCTTTGAAGTTCGTCGGTGGTCTTATCTTCGTTACGTTGGACACCGACTTAAAGAGATCCGCGACAATGAGTTAGCCTTTTTTTATCCATTCTGCTGCACCGATCTGCTTTCATGGCCATTAAAATAAATTATCGATAAAATAAATAAAATAGTGAAAGCGAGGCTCAAGCCCGAGAAGGTCTTTCTACAGGTGGACTGCAGAAACTTCGGGTACCATTGCCCTAAGATATCTATGTCCAGTAGATGATCATGACGTTTAGATCTAGACCACCCAAATAAAAAAGTAATAATTAACGGTTTGCAAGAATTCGCTCTTCGCTATACCGACTAAGCCACTGCGAATAAGTCACGTAGGAAGGGAAAAATTCTACGTTGTGCAAAGACAAAAAGGAAATTCTAAAGGTTGTGCCCAAACTAACAAAGTGAGGCCATGTGTTAAGAAGGCCTCAGACATGGCCTCACTTCCCTTAAATGAATTACACGGTTTAACGGACTAAGCAACCGGTGCTTTCCCCATCTATTCTGCATTTCACTGTTACCATTTACCTTCTCTCTGCTTTCTTCTCATTTCTAGAGGTCTACTAAGAAGTCACTGGACGATCACCAAGGCGACCGGTGATTCTAGCCATGGTCATTACCTCCTAACCACCACCGATGTATGTCTTAGGATCAAAGCAATTTTTGACTTGGTGAGGGAGTTTGAATAGAGCAAGAAAGGGGATATTTTATATGAGCGGACAACCGACGATTGGCCACTCCAATTAACTCCATGGGGCTCGCTAGTAATCAAAGAGTATCGTGGATTGACTTGAGAAGGCTGATTGAGCGTCAATCAGCGGAATTTGACAGCAGAAGAAATGGGCATTTTGTCAGGCATGGAAACAGGTGCTACAAAGGAAGAAAGGGGCTTTTGTCATTTCTCTTGTCGAGCGTTGACTGCCCAATCCAGTCCATCCATCAGGGCTCACGCGTGGCCGGAGAGTCTCCAAGGTTGAAAGGGACGGTTGGCTGACCAACCGGCTGTTGTATGCCCGTATTCCTTTTGTTGTCATTGTTCTGCGTGAAATGGGGTGGAACAGCAAAGATCTTGTGTGACAATGGGCGATGGACAACCAACAGGGGTGCTTGGGAGGCGAGGCAACGACAACAGTTGGAAGTCATCGATCACAGTTAGTCATGATGGTCTGGTGACTTTTCGACGACTGTTATCAATGAAAACACAAAATAAATGGTGAAGGTCAATTGTGTTTTTCTCCGTTAAATTCATTTCTGGCAAGTAGGCCCTTCTTGTCAACATATGGCCTCAGTTTATTGGTTTGGGCACAACTATTAGGATTTCTATAGTTATGCCAGGGACAATGTAGAACTGCTCTATAGGAAGGAGCCACAAATACTGAATTCCATTATTCAGTTTTATTATTGATTTGAAAAAGGTATGAAAAATGACTCGGGTGTTTGCCCCCGCTCCCCAGAAGTTTTGTTACACTTTTCAAAGCGACTAAAGAGGAGTTTGGGAGGGGTTCGGACTATAGTTTCTCAGCTTTTCAACGATTGAAAAGTGATTTTGGATTTTAATGATTGAAAAGTGATTTTGGATGTTTGCAAAAATATTTTTATCTTCTACTTCACTTAAATTAAGTTGTAAATAGTGAAAAAGTTTAAAGTAAGGAAGAGGGTACTTCTAGCTTCTAGTAGCAATTTTGTAATTAAATCAAAACTGTTTTAAATTTATTTTGACACTTTTATCCTCAAATTTTTTCATTATTTTCACCATTTCCTTTTTCTCTCCTCTCCTTCTCTCTCCACCCATTGCCAAACAGGCACCACTGCCACTATTGGACAAATCGCCCTCTCTCCCCCTCCCCTTCCGCCATTCAAGCCCCCTTCCCATGCGATGGGGAGCTTTGTTGCCATTGCACGCAACAACAGGTAGGGGGGCGTGCATGGCGACGGGGAGATTCATCGTAGCTGTGCCACCCCGTCGCCTCTGTGCATGGTGATGGGGAGCTCTATTGCCGTTGCACACAATGACAGGGAGATTCGTCGCCACTATGTGCGGTGACGGGGAAGGGGGCCACCATTGCGCACGGTGACGGGGAGCTCCGTCTCTACACGCAACAGCCAGCAACTAGTAGAGCAGCCATAAGTGAGATAGAGACGACAGAAAAAAATAAAAAGAAAATTTGTAAATAATGGTAAAAAAATTATATATAGGAGTAAAATGGTCTTTTTATTCTAAAATTTTCTCCACAATTATTTCACTAAATTATCTTCCAAGCACTATTTTACTGATTTCGAGAGCCTTTATACACATTTTACAAACACCCTCTACTTCTAATTAAAATATGATTTTCTCCATTTCTTCCTAAAGCATCTACTTCTGATTTTTCACAAGCATTTGCTGTCACACCCCACCTCGTAACTCGAGCGAGGTCTGACAGTAGAATAAAGTTTAGCAACTTCGATGCTCGGGATTCACCGAAGAAGGCCAAACCTTATTCAACTATCTTACCTACTGAGTCCTTTATATAGCTCACATCTAAATAACTAAATAACATAACATAATCTGACATAACATAACTAAAGAATTAAGTCATTATTATTATTGAAATATAATTACTTTAGATGACTTCTCTTTTCCAAAATAAAATCTACATATAATACAACTATCTAATTTTCACTCCCCAAGCAACAATCCAAACCAATTACTGTTAACATAAGGTGGGGCCTAACCTTTCTAAACTAGAAATGTTGCTGTACTGGATGTACCTGATGCACTTATAAGTTTGTACTGTTAAAACCTGAAAAATGAATAAGTTGTGAGACTTGTGTTACACTAAATGGTCTTCTAACTAAAACCAGTGAAACAGGAATATGTTGCATAATTTTATAAATAAAAGCAGTTCGTAAAACTGGCATAACTGATAAAAAGAATATCACATCGTGAGATATCAATTCACTGATCATAATCTAAAAAAATAAAGCTAATTCACCCGTTGAATCTGCAAATCCATTTATAGCAAAATATCTTATAATGGTAAGAATGGAAGTAAAAAACATAACGGCTCCATAAATAAATATAAAATCTGACGTGCATGTAGACATATACATAACATAATAAGAATTCACTGGGTGTTACTGGCCATGAGACTCATTCTATAGGACATCACCCCCATGGATGAATACACATAACTTGTTGGTGTCGTAAAGCCCCACCGGGCAAATAAATCATGTAGTACTGCCACACTAACGTGGTTACCCAGCAAATTATCCAAGTGAATTGCAAACATTTACATATATAACATATGGTATAAAAATGAGATTTCTATTTCCATTTCACATAGTAAAATAATCATAACATATAAATAAAACATTTCAAAAATAAAACCTTTGATTTTGAAATAAAATATTTATTAATAAGAAATTATTAGTTTTACTATTTTAGAAAAATCCTGAATTTAGGAAAAATACCACTCACCTCTATTGATACTATGTGTGTCCAGACTCAATCCTGTTGGCCTCACTGACTGGTCAGTTGACTTGTCCTAAAGTGTAACCACATACGCTATCAATAATATGCCAAAATTATGCATGAATGCATAAATATGCTAGTGCATACCTGAGATGTACTCGTAATTAGATCATTTTCTACCATTTTTATTTGGGGTCAAAGTTTCTGCTACATACGTGCTCCAAAAATTCTCAAAATATTATTATATACTCATTGTCAAGTTATGTAAATTAAGGTATGCTCACGTTCACAAAAGGAGTTATAGTTATTTTTTTATGAAAAATAATCTGTAGGTGTGTCGGTAAAAATTCAAGACTAGAGTTCAAATAAATTTTTGTGTCAGTTTAGTCTTGTTTTTACTAACTTAACTTAGTCACTTTCTTAGCAAAAATTAATATGAATTAATAAAAATTTAATCTAAACTAATAGAAATTATTCCTAAATTTTTCATCATAAAAACAACATTAATTTAAAATCTAAACCGATTAAAAGAATCTAAACTGTAATTAGATTGAAAATAAATTAAAAAAAAATTCTTTTTTTTTTTTTAAAAAAAACCTCACCCGATCCTTGCTTGAATCTTAGTTCCTATCGCATGTTGTTCCCCTCGTTTGCTTCTCTCGCTCTCTTTCTTCTCTTTCTTTCCCTCTTCTCTTTTTTCTTTCTTTCTTCTTTCTTTCTTCTTTTCTTTATTCTCTCCTTTTCTTCCGCCAAAGTACTCTCCCATGGACAAGTGGGAGAACATACTACCCCACCTAATTATGACTCTCTCTCTCTTCTTTTTTTTTCTTTTATTACTATTATTTATTATTATTATTTATATTCTTTTATTATTATTTTTATTATTTTTATACTAAATTTAAGCTATTAATAATCTCACTAATTATACTTATACAAGATAAAATATAAAACACATAATTAGGGTTTTGGTTGGGATGTTACAATCTACCCCTTTAAAGAATTTCGTCCCCAAAATTCAACTATACTTATGAAGGAAACGGATGGAGAAATTTTTATTTTATTTTTATTTTTTTCTTATATCTTCCTCCTGTTCCCAAGTCATCTCTTTTTGGTTTTGATTTCTTCATAAGACTTTTGCTAGTAGAACTTCTTTAAACCGTAACTGTTTTACTTTTCGAGTCAAGATCTGTACAAGATGTTCCTCATAAGACAAATTTTCTTTAAGATCCATTGGTTGGGATTGCAGCACGTCAGAAGGATCTAATATATACTTTCTAAGGGAAACATGAAAAATGTTATGGATATTTGACAATTCTGGTGGTAATGTCAATCTGTAAGCAATTAGCCCAATTCTTTCTATCACCTTATAAGGTTCAATATTCCTTGGGGACAAATTCCTTTCCTTGCCAAACCTTAATATACACTTCTATGGGAGTACTTTTAAAAACAGCTTATCTCCAATCTCAAAGTTAATATCCCTATATTTTGGGTCAAAATAACTTTTCTATTTGTCATGGGTCGTCTTCAATTGGTCTCTTATTAATTTAATCTGACCTACAGTGGTTTGTACAATTTCAGACTCTAATAATTTTCTTTCTCTTTCTTCATCGCAACAACTCAAAGTTCTGCACTTTCTACCATATAGTGCCCCATATAAAGCCATACCAATGTTGGATGAAAAACTATTATTATAAATAAACTCTATCAAAGGCAAATGTACGTCCCAACTACTTGAAAATTCTAATGCACAACTATGAAGCATATCTTCTAAAGTTTGAATGGTTAGTTCTAACTATCCATCAGTCTGAGGATGAAAGATCATTCTAAACTTAAGCTTGGTCCCCAAAATTTCTTGTAGACTTGGCCAAAACTAAAAGGTAAATCTAGGGTCTCTATGTAACACAATGGATATAAGTACTCCATGTCTACTAATAATTTTCATCCACATACAGTTCGGCTAACTTGTTTAAAAGAGAAAGAATTCTTGATAGAGATAAAATGAGTTGACTTAGTCAATTGATCCACTATAACCCAAATAGCATCGTTTCCTTTTCTATTGGTCGTAATTCC